CGACGACGACGGACGAACGACGACGACGACGACGACGACGACGACGACGACGACGACGACGACGACGACGACGACGACGACGACGACGACGGCGGCGGTGGCGGCGGCGACGAACGACGACGACGACGACGACGACGACGACGACGAACGACGACGACGACGACGACGACGACGACGACGACGACGGCGACGACGACGACGACGACGACGACGACGACGACGACGACGACGACGACGACGACGAACGACGAACGACGAACGACGAACGACGACGACGGCGGCGGCGGCGGCGGCACCACCCCACACAGGGGGAGGGGCGGGCGCACCAGCACCCCACTCCACCACGCCACGACCACGGGGCCACGACCACGGGGCCCCGAGCTCCTGGCGGCGCCATTTTTTCACGCCGGGCGGCTTCGCTCGATTTCGGGCTCCGGGACCCTCACAGATCGATCCGGCTCGAAGAATGCCGCAGGAAGATGTGGTCTGGGGCTCCGGTCGTGATCTTTCGCGATGTTGCAATTTTTCGCCACGTCGGGTTTCGGGGGGGGGAGGGGGGCGGTCCCATTCGCGAGGCCTGCGCGAGATTCACGGGCGTGCCCATCCAGCGGGAGTGGGGAGCCGATCCCATTAGCATTGGCGGGGGGTGGGCCAGAGCTCTGGGTCATATATCTTCCAGACCCGCCGCACCTCAGAGATTACCGAACTTCATCCTGCCTTCGTCTTGTAGGATTCGCTAAACACCTTTTCCTATTACCCACTTTCGTCCAGCCTGAGTGGCCAACTCCGACGACGATCCCCCTAGGCGCTCCCCTCGATGACATGGTCGCCTCCGGCGCCAGGAGGCGCCAGGAAAAGCAGCCACGCGGCGAGCTGATCCGATAAACCTTCGGAGGCGACGATCGGGGCGAATAGCCCAGGGGCGGGTATTACCTACACGTGCACGCTGGGGAGCCTCGCCGAAAGCATGGACCATCGGCGCCCCTGGATACATAGTACTGCTCTCCCCTGGGCTACTCGCTCCTATCACCGCCTCTGGACCCCCCTTCCCTTGCCGCCTGACTCGGATCCGCTGTACGTTGGTTGATTTTCCGACTTTCAGTTGTGTCGGACATGCGCCCAAAACGATGCAAAAAAGTCTGGCGGACACTTCCGCCGCAGAGGATGAAGGCGGATATTTCCGCAAAAGTGTGGCGGAAACAGCGACGGTAAAGTAGGTCGGAAATCGGCATCAAGCGAGCTTGAAAGTTGGGCGGCGACTCCCGCCCTCAGCAGGACATCGCCCACAGTGCGGCGAATCTGGAGTCGGGTTCCCCCTGGTCGTCCTCGGACGGGGCTAGGACGAGGATAAATCCGTTCCAGAGCGCCCCGGAACGCCCTCAGAGCGTTCTGGAACGCTCTGAGAAGGCCGTGGCGCCAGAGACATCCCTCCGCCGGATCTCCGAGATTCTCGATTTCATCCGCACCCGATTTTATCTTCGTCCTGCAGTGGGGGCTCATGCCAAGAAACACCCTGCTTGCCTCCAGGGTGCCCTGGGTCTCTTGGGCTTCGGTGGTTTCTTGCTGTGGCAAGCGTGACGCTCCCACACCAGAAATCAGCGGATGCTCTGGGGTCTCAGGGTTGGGTTCCTTGTGGGAGGCTTCTTGTGGAAGGGCCCTATACAACAGCTTCGTCTGGCGTTAAGTCGGGCACGCCCCTCTACAGGAGGAATCTTCAAAAATCGTAAAAAAATAGTTTGAGGACGATTTCTTTTAGCACTTTTTGGCCATTTGGGGGTATGTTTTTTGGAGTATGTTTTGTTGGAGAGGCCTGACGGCCGGTGCCGACGACCCTGATCGAAAGGGCTAGGAGTGGGGGGAGGAAGCGGAGGAGGAGGAGGAGGAGGAGGGAGGAGGAGGAGGAGGAGGAGTCCAAAATCCCCCTATAGGAGGACAGGCCCGACCTGAGTCTTGCGTCCGGCCCGACAGAGGCCGCCGGCTCCGACGACGGCCCCCTGGTCGCCGCGGGCCCCCTGGCCGCCGCGCTGTCGGAGAGGCGCAGGAGGCTGGGGCTCCTGTGCCAGGACGCTGGAGCGGCGCGAGGAGGAGGAGGAGGAGGAGGAGGAGGAGGAGGAGGACGAGGACGAGGACGAGGACGAGGACGAGGAGGAGGAGGAGGAGGAGGAGGAGGAGGAGGAGGAGGACGGCAGGGGGCCCCTGGGCCTCAGGCCGGGCGCGTCCTTCTTCTAGGAGGAGCGCCCAAGAGTCGTCAAACACATCGTCTGGGGACGGTGCCTTTTTCTGGCATTTTTCCGCATCCGTCTGGAGCAATCTTTGGGGACCGAGTTTCCTTTTTCGCCCAAACTCCGCCTGCAGGAGGGCATGCCCGACCTGACTCTGGGCGGCCCTCGCGCACAAGAGGGCGCCGGGACAAGAAGTGTCCACACCCATGGCGGCAAGGCGATGCAGCGCGATAACAGCCACGACTGCGAAGTGCCCCTGCCTCGCACCCCTCCCCCCCCAAGCCAGAGTCGAAACGTCCGCATTCCGTCAACCTTGCACTTGGGGAAAGGGGGGTATACGTTCTGGTTTGACGTGCTTTGATAACTCAAGGTCTTCTCCTCCTCCTCCTCCTCCTCCTCCTCCTCCTCCTCCTCCTCCTCCTCCTCCTCCTCCTCCTCGTGTGGACTCTTTTGGTCCACCCACCGGAGGGCGCCCCCGCCTCCGAGGGGGCCCTCCTGCCTGCAGGGGGCCCCCCCTCGCTTGCAGGGGAGCTGCTAGGGCTCGTTTCGATTTCTCCGATTCGATTTGGGGTTCCGGTTTGGATTCCGATTTCTTGTTGGAGGTATACTAGCCTGCCGATTTCCGCCGGTTCGACTTTTCCCGATTCGGCTGCCGATTTCCGCCGATCCGATTCATGTCGATTTCCGATCCGTTGTATCGATTCGATTCTGGGCTCTCCTGGGAGCTGGGGACCCAGATCCCTCGAGCCATGAGAAGATCACGGCGCGAGGTTTTTCGCTGTTGTTCGGCCCGGCGTCGGGACCGTCAAGGAACGCCTCGGGGTGATAAGCCGGTCCCGGGGAAGCGGTCGAGACCTTCGGGGGTAGACGTTATGAATCAAGGGCATAAAAAACGCCCCTACCCTGGTTTACGAGGCGCCGTGCTCTGAAACTCCTGTGGGCTGACAGGGTAAACCCTGCGTGATGTGCCGCGTCCTGGCGGCTCTAGGCTTTGGGGGGTCCCAGGAGGTTTGCAGACCACGCACTTGTAACCCAGGGTAGGGCCGTTTTTTCATCCCTCAAATGAAAGAATCATGACGTCGGGGGTCTGGGGGAGCGGAGGAGGCAGAAGTGGTGCCCTCAGACCTCGTCCCTGGAGCGCTCCGCGGTGGAGGTCTTGGCTCCGCTTCCTCCGCCTCCGCCTTCTCTGCGTCTTCTGCCTCTGGGGCCCGCCTCCTCCTCCTCCTCCTCCTCCTCCTCCTCCTCCTCCTCCTCCTCCTCCTCTTCCTCCCTCCTCCCTCCTCCCTCCTCCCTCCTCCCTCCTCCGACCCTCCCTCCTCCCTCCTCCCTCCTCCTCCTCCTCCTCCTCCTCCTCCTCCTCCTGCTCCTCCTCCTCTTTGTTCCGTTTCTTTCGTCTGGCGTGTCTTGATGATCATTGTTTACCACTTTTGGGGTGGCACATTTCCTCTGCCGCCTCCTGCTCTGCCTCTGCCTCCGCCACCTCCTGCTCCTTGGCCAGCACGCCCGCTCTTTCTGGCCCTGGCTGGTTTCTCTCCCGTCTTTTCTTGTCGTGGCCAAGTCTGTCTTCTTCTGAGAAGGGGCGGGTCACCCGAGAGTCTTCGATGATGGGCTAAATCTTTCCAGTCAAGGTGCGCCCTGCCTCCTCTGAATGCCGTCCCCTTCGCCTTGCCTCTTCGCCTTCTTGCTCTCTGTCTTCGCGTTCTTCGCACTAGCACCGCTAACCTCATATGACCTCGCCGTTGCTCTTCTCATCCACGTTCTGCGTGCGCCTCCAGAGGACGCCGAGGAGGACGCCCGGCAAGCCAGGGAGGCCCACACGCGGCAGCGGCAGCGGTACCAGGTCGGGGGGCATCAACTGTCCACCTCACCGGTCCTGGCCAGGCCCATCCTGGGCCCAGGATCGGTGCAACCCTCCCGCTTGGCTGGGCCATGGAGGCATACGGTCAGGAGCTTTATCTTAGCGTGTCGCGCCGCGAGTTCTGGCCCACCGCGCCTCGGCGCGACAAGCTAACCACGAGGATCGAGGAGGATCGAGGAGGATCGAGGAGGATCGAGGAGGAGGAGGAGGAGGAGTAGTAATAGTCAACGTCCCAGTCCCCGAGCGTCAACGTTCCGAGCTGTTCGCAGCCTCCCGCCCCGCGGAGCGGAGCGGCACGCTACCTGCTTGCACGGCACAGCGTGTCGCCGGGGCCGCCGCCGCGACACGCTCGCAAACGCCCCCCCGACCGTGCACGCCACTGGGCCCAGACTGGACCGCCTCTGGGAGGAGGCTGCCCAGACATCCGACGCTGCGCCCCTGTCACCCTGCAGCCCCGAGGCTCTTGACCCCCTTTCCTGAGGTCAGGTTTTCGCTTCGGTTCCACGCCTGACGGCCCCGGAGCCGAAGGCCCCAGGGTTAAGTCGGGCCTGTCCCTCTACAGGGGGAATATTCAAAAATAGTCAACAAATACTCTGGGGACGATTTTTTTTTACCATTTTTGAGTATCCGGGGTGTATCTGTTGACTATTTCCCCACATCCAAAGTGGGGTTCTTGTTTTCTCTGCACACCCCGCGCAGGAACACTCACCCCACCCCCTCTCCTCTTCTGCCTTCGCACACTCACTCACTCACTCATCATCATCACCACTCACTCGCACTCACACTCACTCACACTCTCTCATCATCAACATCGGCATCATCACTCGCGCTCTCTCACACGCTCAGTCACTCACATACTCATCATCATCATCATTATCATCATCATCATCATCATCATCATCATCATCATCATCATCATCATCATCATCATCATCATCATCATCATTCCCCACATCCTAAGTGGGGTTCTTGTTTTCTCTGCACACCCTCCGCGCAGGATCTCTCCTCCTCCTCCTCCTCCTCCTCCCTCTCCTCTGCTCCTCTTTGCTTCCTCCTCCGCATCATCATCACCATCACCATCACTCCCCACTCATCATCATCATCACCATCAGCATCACCATCACCATCGCACGATCACTCACCATCATCGGCATCGAACGATCATCATCATCATCATCATCATCATCATCATCATCATCATCATCATCATCATCATCATCATCATCTCGCTGACTTGAGGCCTGAATATGGAGGAAGTATCAGGCGGGAGCCTCGTTTGTGAGTGAATTGTGAGGAAGTCTCAGGCGGGAGCCCCCTCCCTATGGGGCCCGCACTTCATGTTCGAATCCGAGCGGGTCATCCGAAACGTTTAACTGTCGTCACTTTTGGGCTCTTGAGACCTGAATATGGAGGAAGTCTCGAGCGGGAGCCTCGGAGTGAATTGCGAGGAAGTCTCAGGCGGGAGCCCCCTCCTTATGGGGCCCGCACTTCATGTTCGAATCCGAGCGGGTCATCCGAAACGTGTAACTGTCATCACTTTTAGGCTCTTGAGGCTTGAATATGGAGGAAGTCTCGAGCGGGAGCCTCGTCTGTGAGTGAATTGCGAGGAAGTCTCAGGCGGGAGCCCCCTCCCTATGGGGCCCGCACTTCATGTTCGAATCCGAGCGGGTCATCCGAAACGTGTAACTGTCGTCACTTTTGGGCTCTTGAGGCTTGAATATGGAGGAAGTCTCGAGCGGGAGCCTCGTCTGTGAGTGAATCGCGAGGAAGTCTCAGGCGGGAGCCCCCTCCCTATGGGACCCGCGCTTCATGTTCGAATCCGAGCGGGTCATCCGAAACGTGTAACTGTCCGTCACTTTTGGGCTCTTGAGACTTGAGTATGGAGGAAATCTTGAGCGGGAGCTTCGTCTGTGAGCGAATTGCAAGGAAGTCTCAGGCGGGAGCCGCCTCCCTATGGGGCCCGCATCTCATGTTCGAATCCGAGCGAACATCCGAAACGTGTAACTGTCGTCACTTTTGGGCTCTTGAGGCCTGAATATGGAGGAAGTATCAGGCGGGAGCTTCGTTTGTGAGTGAATTGTGAGGACGTCTCAGGCGGGAGCCCCCGCCCTATGGGGCCCGCATTTCATGTTCGAACCCGAGCGGGTCATCCGAAACGTGTGACTGTCGTCACTTTTGGGCTCTTGAGGCTTGAATATGGAGGAAGTCTCGAGCGGGAGCCTCGTCTGTGAGTGAATTGCGAGGAAGTCTCAGGCGGGAGCCCCCGCCCTATGGGGCCCGCACTTCATGTTCGAATCCGAGCGGGTCATCCGAAACGTGTAACTGTCCGTCACTTTTGGGCTCTTGAGCTTTGAATATGGAGGAAATCTCGAGCGGGAACCTCGTCTGTGAGTGAATCGCGAGGAAGTCTCAGGCGGGAGCCCCCCTCCCTATGGGGCCCGCACTTCACGTTCGAATCCGAGCGGGTCATCCGAAACGTGTAACTGTCGTCACTTTTGTGCTCTTGAGCTTTGAATATGGAGGAAGTCTCGAGCGGGAGCCTCGTTTGTGAGTGAATTGCGAGGAAGTCTCAGGCGGGAACCCCCTCCCTATGGGGCCCGCTTCCCGAGGCGCTGGCCGAGGCGGCGACGGCGCTGAGGAAAATGGATTTGCTTGCCCCGACGAGGGGGAAGGGGAGGTGCACATGGAGAAAAGGCAGGGGGATGAGGAGGGAAGGGGCATGGGGGAGGCCGACGACGAGGAGGAGGTGGCGCGAGAGGAGGAGGAGGAGGAGGAGGAGGAGGAGGAGGAGGAGGAGGAGGAGGAGGAAGAGGAGGAGGAGGAGGAAGAGAAATAGAAGGGGGAAGAGAGGGCAGTGCAGGGGGCGAGAGGAGAGGGTGTCCGCCAGGGGGAGGAGGAAAGGGCAAAGGGTAAGCTAAACAGATTCTCATGTGGGGTCCTACCGTCGGAGTAATTTTTAATTCTTCGCCCAAAATCCCCCTGTAGGGGGGACAGACCCGACTTAACCCCAGGGTCGGCCCTGGAGGCCCTGGGGGCCATGTTCGGCGCAACCGTGGCAGGGCGCCCCGGGAAGGCGAGCGCCCCGGGGTGAAGGCCCGCAGGGTCGGCGGCGCTCTTGGCCGAAGGGCCCGGGAGACTGTGGGCTCCTGGCTCGAGGGCCCTGGACTCGCGGGCCCCAGGGCCCGCGGGTGCCGAGGTGGAAAACATCGGCGGCGCGCAGAGGGGGTCAGAGGGAAAGGGGGAGGCTTCTGAGGATCAAGTCGGGCCTGTCCCTCTACGGGGGGAGTATTCAGAAATAGTCAAAACATTGTCGGGGGACTATTTTTTGAGGTTCCATTTCGGTTTCGGACCCCCGCGGTTTACAGTTTTTGTCCATAAAGCCTCTCTCTCACCTCCTCCCTCTTCCTCCCCCCCTTTCCTCCTTCACGTTCCGTTTTTTTCTCTCTCTCTCTCTCTCTCTTCCCTTCTTCCGCCTCCCTCTTCCTCCTTGTACTCCTCCTCCTCCTCCCCGTCCTTCCTTTGTTCTCTCGGCTTCCCCAGCAAGCAACAGACCAGTGGGAAAACCAAACAAAGCAAAGCAACAACAAACAATATATGCAATGTTCTGGGATAGTACGGAGGGTGAAGCGAACCCTTGCGAAACATTGTTTTTTTTATTGCTCGTGTTGCTTTCATAATGCTTATTAGTATTATTATTATTACTACTACTACTACTACTACTACTACTACTACTACTACTATTACTATTGTGTCCAATGGTTTTCTTTGGTTCTGCCCCAAGAGGGGATTATGATGAGGAGGAGGAGGAGGAAGCGATGCTGCACGCGTGCTCCTCCAGCCGCTCCCAGTCGCCCCCATCCGCGGGAAAGGGAACTTGAAAAGGTTTTCTTTCTCGCTTGCGCTTGGACTGGAGGGTGAACTTGAAAATGTTCACTCTCTAGCCGCGGGAAAAGGGATTTGAACAGGTTTTCTTTCTCGCTTGCGCTTGCGCTGGAGGGTGAACTTGACAAGGTTCACTCTCTAGCCGCGGGAAAGGTTCTCATTCCCGCTCGTGCTTGCGCTGGAGGGTGAACTTGAAAAAGGTTCACTCTCTAGCCGCGGGAAAGAGAACTTGAAAAGGGTCTCGTTCCCGCTCGTGCTTGGGCTGGAGGGTGAACCTGAAAAAGGTTCGCTCTCTACCCGCGGGAAAGGGAACTTGAAAAGGTTCTCGTTCCCGCTGGCGCTTGCGCTGGAGGGTGAACTTGAGAAGGTTCACTCTCTAGCCGCGGGAAAGAGAACTTGAAAAGGTTTTCGTTCCCGTTTGCGCTTGCGCTGGAGGGTGGACTTGACAAGGTTCACTCTCTAGCCGCGGGAAAGGGGACTTGAAAAGGTTTTCGTTCCCGCTTGTGCTTGCGCTGGAGGGTGAACTTGAAAAGGTTCACTCTATCCGCGGGAAGGCCCCTCGGCCCCATGTGGAACACAGGCCAGCTCAAATTAGACATAATCTAGTAGCGCCTATCATATACAAGGGCATCCTAAAACTGGATGCCCCTTGCCATCCAACAGGGAGCCGACGCCGACGATTTGTCTTGATGGGGCGGCATGTGATGAAGCCCTTGCCCACCTTCCCTCCGCGAAGTTCCGCAGTGCTCGATCGGCTCAAGCTGTTTCATCTCAGCGCCTTTCGCGTCTACGGTTCGCTTTCGCGACTGCCATGGCGAGGGATAGCGCGATCCTCCCCAAGACCCTCCGCGGGACTCTTGGGGGCGCCATCGGGGGCGAGAGCATCAACTTCGGCCAGGCTCTCGCGCACGCCGACGGCATTAAACCCCACTTCCACGCTGGCCTCCCGCACGGCCACGTCGAGCAAGAGGGGGTGCCGAAAGTCGCGGACATTCCTGCTGCGCCCGTGAACGTCCATGCGGGCACGAAGATCACCGATTTTGGGGACCTGTTGATGAACCAGGACTATGAGGAGATCCAGGGTCCCGACGGGAAAGCATTTGGTGTCCTCACGGGGTGGAAGGGCGCACAAGGGCAACCGCGCCGCTTGGACGTGGGCAAGGATCTTGCGACGAAGTCCAAGTTCAGCGGCCCCCCTCCGCCGTTCAACCTCAAGAGCCAACCTGGCGGGCCATGCGCCATGCAGATTTTCGTCGTCGGCGCCGGGGGGTTCCAGGTGCACATCTTTAAAGACGTTGACTTGAAGGGCCAGTTCTTGAAGATGGCAAGCTGCGAGCCAATGCGTTATGGCACAGGCGTCGAGCACCAGCATGGGAATCAGCATAGGGCAGGCCGCATTGCGATGTGTTATCTCTTGGAAAAACTCGGCGGCTCACAGGTTCGCTTCGCCGCGCTGACGGCCGCGGCGGAGCCGGCCAGGCGCTCGACCGAGCGGGGCAAGACGCTCGACGGGCACTAATGCACCGAGATGAAGGGCCCGAAGAGCAACGACCGCAACCAGTCCATGGAGTTCGCGGACAAGGGCGGTTCGGCGGGGAAACGCGGCGCCATCTGGCAAGCCCCTCTGCCGCCCTTCCCCCCCGACGCCCTCCTCGGTCGCGCAGGCGCTTTGACCGCCGAGCGGCTGCAGCTAGCTAAGCGGCGCCGTCGTTTCCCCGCCCCCCCCCCACCGGAGATCAACGACCCGCGGTCGAAAATGCACGGCTGGGAGGAGCCCCGCGTGACCCAGGTGTTGCGGAACCATGCGAGCGGGCGCGTCAATGCCAAGCGCCTCGCTGTCTGGGCGCTCGCGCTGAAGGACTTCGAGCCGCGGTTCATCAACGAGGTGCTCGTGAAGATCTTGCCGGCGCTTCGCCGCAACGGCGCACCCTGGGTCGGCGAGACCAGAGTGGGGAAGTCAACGGCGTCAAAGACCCTCGCATTCTTGATGCCCATGCTCCAGCTCGACACCCTTGAGGGCGATGCTGGGGAGAGCGCCCCCGAGCCCCCCATTGTCACCGCCGAGCATTTTGATTTCTCCAGGGGCGAGCCCGCGGAGAAGGCGCCGCCCGCGGTGTTCGACGACGGGGACTTGCGCAAGCAGGACGCGCCCATGTTGAAGGCGCTCCTCAACCCGAGCGAGGAGGGCCCCACCTTGCGGGCGAGGTGGGGGCCCAGCACGTTCGCCCCAGGGGCGCCCCGCCAGGCCGCGAACAACAGCTACGATAATGCATTGGAGGAAATGTCGGTGGCAGCTCGGCGCCAAGGGCAAGCAACGGAGATTCCGCTCAAGCAGCTCATGAATCTCATCGCGCCCCCCCTAAAGCAGATCACAGAGGAAGAGGACATGAAGGCCCTGCTCGCGACGATCCACGTCGTCGTGACCACGGGCGCGGGCGTGCACTTCCGCCTAGCATCCGATGAGTTCCCAGAAGACGGAGTCGCGCCCTTCTGCACATACAGCAAGAAGACGAAGCCTGACCTCTTCAGTTACCCGCCCGAGACGCGCGCGCTTCGGCAGGTGCAAAGACGACCCGACTTCGCCGAACAATTGCCCGACCGACTTCAAGGAGAAAGCGGAGTGGTCTCTGAATTTCGCGAAGCGCTTGATGCGTGGCGAGGACGCGCCCACCGCGTCGATAACCCGCGGTGCCTCGCTCTTCGGGCAGCTCGTGCGCAGCGTCCAGCCAGAGGTCGTGCCCCCGCCAGTGGGCGGTTCAGGCAGTGGCGCGGCTTCGCTTCTTCGAGCGGCTTGTCAGGGCCATCTGCGGCCGCTGGCATGGGGCGCGCTGGCGCGCTGGGCAGCGTGGGCGCGGTCGAGCAGCAGGCGATCTACGCCGCGATGCAGCGGCAATTCTTCGAGGGCAACAAGGAGGACAGCGGCGCGCTGGTGGAACCCATGTCGCCTCCCCGCAGGCGCCCGACAACGGGCGCCAGGGCCCCCTTCGGGTGCGGCGGCGAGCCCAGCGACGTAGACTTGGCTGAGCAGGCCGCGATCTACGAGCATATGCAGCAGGCGATCTTCAACCAGAACCAGGTGGACTCCGGCGCGCAGATGGACCTCGCCACTCCCCCCGTCAGCGCCCTGACGCGGCGGGCAACGGCGTCGACTTGGATGCCGAGCTCGAGCGCCACCTAGACTTGGAGGAAGAATGCGAGCGCCAGCGAGCGGAAGAGGCCCGCAATCAGGCAGCAGAGGGCACCGCGGCCCAGGGCGGCGCCATGGAGAAGTGAGGTGTTATGTGAGTGGGGCACCCATGCGCGGGCAGCGTTGTCGCTTTCGGCTCGGGCAATGACGGGGCGCGCGCCGCCGCGGGGGCGCGCGCCGCGGGGCGCGTACATAGATGCTTGCACGTCCCTAGATTCATTTGAGCCGACTGGTTGAAACCGGTCTCGTCGTCGTCGTCGTCGTCGCCCCCATCCCCCCGCGCGTCGCCGCTTGCATCGCAGTTGCGAGGGGGGCCTCCGCTGTCCGCGCCGCATTTGCACCGCAGCTGCTTTGGCTCGAGGGCGCGTCAGCAGACCGCATATCGGGGGCGCTTGCGGCGATGGCAGGCATGGCGCGCACGTGCAACAACGTCTAGAGCTTGAAGAAGGCGCTCAACGCAGCGACTGTCGACGCGAGGGAGGAGTTCCTCGCCGCTGCCAAGTGCGCCAACGTCGAGGACATGTCGCCGTATCCGAAGGACCCCACGACGCCGCTGATGGTCTGTGCCCAGCACTTCGGCGTGGTTCCCGATGAGTGCCGTTGCCAGGAGTGCGCGACTCTGAGTTCACCATGAAGGTCAAGTCTGGGACGTCTGACCGCGCGGCACGCTGGCAGCGGCGGCGCCCTCGACGCGACCGCGCTGGTGGCTGCGACGCATGCGGCGACGTTGAGATTTCAGTGACCAAGGGCACCCTGTTGGCAGACGTCAAGGCGTCAAACTGGCTCCAATTCTTCGACTGCGTGGCCATGTTGGCCCAGGAGCACCCGCGCTTGAAGATCGCCCGCAAGCTCGGCAAGCAGCGCAACGCCGCGGGCCCCTGGATGGAGAAGTTCCAGGATGTCGCCGCGTCTTACATCGCCGACGAGATCCCCCTCCCGAAGCCGCACGAGGCCTTCAGGAAACGGGCCAAGGCCAAGAGCAAGGAGGGCGTGAAAACTAATTTCTCCAAGGAGAAGCAGGCCAAGTTCATCGTTCAGGCCGACGAGGTCTTTTTGAACAAGTCCAAGGTCGGCCGCCTCGCGCCAGGCGCCCGCCCCAAGAAGGACAAAGCGCGACTGCGGGGCGTGGTCGCGCAGGGCGGTCCAGAGGACTTCGTCTTCCGAGTCTTGGAGCGCCCAGACGACGCGTTCGACGGGAGCCCCCGCGGAAAGCAGGAGACGGTGGCGAATTTCGACGCGCTGGGCCTCTGCAAGGGCATGGTCGTCGCCACGGACGGGTGGGGGGCCACGATCGCGGCTATCGAGCACATCAAGGACAGGGATGGGTGGTCGGACAGGGACCTGAAGCACGAGATCGTCGTCCACTCCAAGGGGGAAGTCAAGGACCAGCGCGGCTTCACGACGAACCACATCGAGAACCGTTGGTCGGTCCGGTCCTTCAGAGGTGGCTCAAGAAGCGCCTTGGCGGCCGCCTGCCGACTACCTCGGATCGGCGGAAGTGGGCTCGCTGGGTGGCGTAGCTTCAGTACAGGAAGGCCGTCGCGAAGACGCACCCAGTCGATGGCGGCAACACCTACTCCCTGCCGACGAAGGCGTTCCTTTCCCACGTGGCGGAGGTCACGCTGGCTGGGGGGCTCTGACGCGGCGTTTCGGGTCCTGACGCAGCAAGTAGTCTCGGGGCTCGGCAGCGCCTGTGACGCAGGCTACATGATGGGCTCCCGCGCGCATGGCGTGAGAATGGGGCCACCCATGCCTGGGGTTGAACAGCGAACCCGCACCACTGCAGCACACAAAAGCATTCAATCATCAGCGCCGCCGCCACCGTCGCATCACGCCGCATTAGCAGAATTCCTTAAATCGCGGGGGTCCGAAGCCGAACTGGGGCCTGTTTTGCGTATTTTCTGACAATCTTCGAATATGTTGGGGGCGTGTTTAAGTTTGCGTCGAAATTCCCCCTGTAGGGGGACACGCCCGACCTAATCTTAGTAGCGCCCCTGCTTCCCGGAAGGCGCGGGCCCTGTCTGTGAACGTGAGGCCCGCGGCTTTTAAGAAGCAGCCCCCTTTCTAAGACGCCCCCTGCCACCATGTGCGCGCCGCCGAAACAAGGCGCGCGTCGCGCCGCGCGGGGCCCACGGGTGCCGAGATGGAAGAAAGGCGCTGACGATGGCGACGACGATGACGATGACGACACCGTGGCCCCGAGCGCAAGGTAAGCTCAGCATTCAGCAAGCATCGCCCTCGTCGTCGTCGACTGGCCACGGCGCTCCCGCGCCGCGTCGTCGGCGGCGGTGGCCCCCCCAGCGCGGGCGCCGCCAGCGGCGCAGGCGCAGAGGCCCGAACCTAGGAGCGCGCGCGGCCGGGCAGCGCAGCTCTGATATCCTGGGCGTGCTCGCGGCGTGCCGCGCCCGTCGGTCGCTGAGAGCAGGTGACGTTGGAGCCCCAGATTCCAATCGACTTCTCTTCCTCCTCCTCCTCCTCCTCCTCCTCCTCCTCCTCCTCCTCCTCCTCCTCCTCCTCCTCCTCCGCCTCCTCCTCCTCCTCCTCCTCCTCCTCCTCCTCCTCCGCCTCCTCCTCCTCCTCCTCCTCCTCCTCCTCCTCCTCCTCCTCCTCCTCCTCCTCCTCCTCCTCCTCCTCCTCCTCCTCCTCCTCCTCCTCCTCCTCCTCCTCCTCCTCCTCCTCCTCCTCCTCCTGCGCATCCCTACTTCAATGATCGAGTGGTTTCACCGTTTCCGTCAGGGGGCGGGCGGACACCCAATCTGCTTTCAGCGCCTTCCCGCTCACTCCGGCCGACGGGTACTTTTTCCCAGCTGCGTGCAGGCAGCTTGCTTTTCCACAAAGCGCCCCAAGGCTGGCACGCGGAGTTGGCCCAGAATGGTGTCCGATGTCGGACGGTCTGCGGTATCGGAGGGCCGCGGTCGTGTCAGGCCGAGCGATCCGCGCGGCGTCGGAGACCAACGCCAAAGTCGTCACGGCACCAGCCTGTGGCGAGAGGGTGGCCTCAAAGAAGCCGCAGGAGCGCGGCCAGGCGGCCGTGGCATCATGCAGACAGCCCGCATGGTAAATCTGAGAAACTGTCCAAGGTTGCCCCCGCATGCTTCCCCTTCGGCCTATCCTTGGCCGCTTTCGCTGGCGGCGCCCCGCTCGCAAAGTGTCGACATGGCCTTCCAAGACCCTTGCATCCTGATCGTGCGTCCTCATTGTACGGGTTGACTGTAGCACTCCGCCGGTTGCCAGGGGGTGCGGCGGCGGATGTTCTCGGTTATGATGTGTCGGAGGAGCGAGAGTCACGATGAGGATCTCGTTCTTTTGTACAGGATGCAGCGTTGCCTGCAGCCAGTGCCGAACCTTAGCTGCCTTGATACGCCCGTTAAACGCAACATGTACCGTGTCCAAAACGTCCGTGCTGCTACGTTGTGTGTTGTTTCAACGTGTTGGCCCACACTTTGGCGAAGGTATCGCGCCAAACGTGAGTCTTCGGTCTCCGTGTTGAGTTCCGTGTCAGCACGCTACGGGCTGCGTGTTGCGCATCGCGGCGGTTAAGCTTAAGTCGGGCATGGCTCTCTACATGGGGGAATACTCAAAGAAATCAAAAAATAGTCTGGGGACGATTTGTTGACAATTGTTATATATTTGTTGGATTCGGTTTTGAATATTTTTCTCGCCCAAAATCCACCTGCAGGAGGACATGCCCGACCTAAGGCTCAGCGCCGAAACTGACGCCCCCCGACCCAGGACAGCCGCGCCAAGAGCGAGGCCGCCCAGGAGCTCCAGCGGGAGGCGCTCTCCGCCCACGACGCGGCGAGCTCCGCGCACCGGGCCGCCGTGCGGGCGGAGCTGGCGCCGGCGGAGGAAGTGGGCGTTGGTCGTCCTCTTCCTCCCCCTTCTCCTTCTCCTCCTCCTCCTCCCCCTCCTCCTCCTCCTCCTCCTCCTCCTCCCCCTCCTCCTCCTCCTCCTCATCCTCCTCCTCCTCCTCTTCCTCTCCTCTTCCTCCTCCTCCCCCTCTTTCTACTCCTCTCCTTCCTCCTCCTCCTCCTCCTCCTCCTCCTCCTCCTCCTCCTCCTCCTCCTCCTCCTCCTCCTCCTCCTCTCCTCCTCCTCCTCTTTCTCCTCCTCTCCTTCCTCCTCCTCCTCCTCCTCCTCCTCGTCCTCCTCCCCCTCCTCCTCCTCCGTAGCCATTTTGGCTCAAGACCGATGCTTTGGCGGGCTGAGCCCGCATTGGCAGACAAGGATACCGCTGTGACCGCGGCCAGACAACAAGTGAATTTATTTGTGAGCTCCTGGTGGAGCGACTGCCCTCTCCTGTCCACGGCTTTTGCCACTCTTCGAGTGCCATGGGGCCGGCGGCAAAGAATTGGGCATGGTCGCGTTGCGGGAGCTGCAGCAGATGGGCGTACGATTGGAAGATCAAAAGCAATGGAGGTTATTGCGCGAAATGTGACTCGCTCGTCACGCCCTGGACCGACAACAATGGCAAGAAGGGCACAGCAGACGTTCCTCCATGGGCCAACAAGACCAAGGGCAACTACCCGGAAGTGGTGTGCAAGCAGCTGGCGGCCGCGCTGGCGAAGCTCGGCCTCGATGAGAACATGCAGGCCCAGCTTGAGGGCCTCCAGTCGGCCATCTCTCAGAAGTGCGCCCCGAAGCAGAAGGAAGTACCCAAGTCGGCACTGCTCAAGCAGGCGATTGCCAAAGTCAACGCGGCCAAGTCTAAGCTCGAGGCGATCTCCAAGCGGCACGTGGAGGCAGAGAAGGCAGTGGCCAAGTTACAAGAGCAGATGGAGCAGGCAGCGGCTGAGGTGTTCGAGGCGCAGCAGGAGCACTCGAAGGCACTGGAGGAGTACAACACTCAGTCGCTCGCGGAGGGCACCGCGCAGAAGCCTCAGGATGACAACACGAGAGTCCACTTCGATGCGTCGCTTTTCGAGGAGGTGGAAGACCTGGAGCAGGAGCAGAAGGAGCAGCTCGCCAAGTTCAGGCAGGACGCGGCGGCCCTGCAGGAGCTGCTCCAGCGTGCCAAGGCTCAGGAGGAAGCGATGGTCGCCATGGTCGAGACAGCGAAGAAGATTCAGGCGGATCGCACGGCGAAGAAGTGCAGGTTGGATGAGCAAAACTTTCAACATAATCAAGTCCCACCACCTCAGCAGCCTGAGGTCAAACCAGAAGAAATACCAGCACCAGATGATCCTGAAACCCAAAAGAAGAAGGCAGAGGTGATCATTAAGCTCATCAGCGCGAGGCCAAGGCAAGGGCAGCCACTACGGCTACAGCTGTTGGGTCGTCGGCTATTTCAGGCGCTGCTGGCACTGGCACTGGTGGGCAGGATCTTTAACAATACGACCGCAATGACAGAGAAGCAGCAGAAGTGTACCAACATATTGTTCAGCAGTATCACGCAGTGGGGAGAGAAGCCGCGCAAGTTTATCAACGAGAACACAGAAGTCGCCAAGGTGTTCGCGTTCACGGAGTCTCATTTCCCGAGCGCAGGAGTGACCAAGCTCAAAAAGAACCTGAGCAAAGACGGATGGTAAGCAGCAGTTACGGCAGCAACACCGACACATTGCTCCATAGAGGGCGCCAGTGGCGGCGAGCTGCTAATAGCCAAGGCGCACTTGGCGACCACCACATACGACGAGATGAGGGAGACGGTGATCAAGCAAGGTACGAGAGATCCATTCAGAGGGCTTGTGGGCATGAACCTCCACATTCGCGGAGGCAACCTAGTACTCTTATCCCTCTACCTCCTTCCCGAGGAGGGTGTGCAAGGCAGTAATTCCGAGAAGATCAAAGCTCTCTCCACGGTGATTGGCAGTATTACAGACCCATGGATTATAATGGCAGATTGGAATCTCTCACCGTCAGCAAGTCAGGGCCCCCGAAGAGACTCGGAGGCCGCATCATCACACCGAACGTGCAGGTTACTTGCGATAGAAGGTGCAGCCTCATCGACGTCGCGATGGCACGCGAGGACATAGCGGATGACATCACCATCGAGGCGGAGGCGACGGTTCCCTGGAGGACGCACACGGGGCTCCTGCTTAAGCTCCCAGGGAGGGCGGATGCCTGGTGGCACAGGCATCTCGACCTGCCCCGTCCGCTCCCCCTGGCGCCACCGCCGAAGAAAGACGCAGGCCCCGACAGCACGCGCAGCAAGACGAAAGAGGAAGCACGACAGAAACGAATGGCGGCACTACCAGAGGACCTCCAGGAAGAGTTCAACGTGATGGAGACGAAGCCCACGCAGTCCAAGCAGCAGCAGGCGCAGCACGCGATCGACCAGCACCAGTGGCCGGAGGCGATCACCAAGGCGGTGGGCCCCAACCTCACGCATCAGATGCACTAGTTAGAGCCGCATCTTCCCATCCGCGGTGAGCATCATAAGCTGGGTGAGCAGGCGATCCCAGGCGAGCGCGCGGTCTGGGCCGCTGCTGTAAAGGAGGCGATCATCGGAGCCGACAGGATGGAGGCTCATGAGGCCGACGCCTACCGCGGCAGAGGAGGCGGCTGCGTTGCGCGATGGCAAAGGTCTAAAGCGGCACCAGGTCGCACGCACATGAAGTACAGGCGGCTGAACTATGGTCGATCATGGGGACGCTCATCGCCAGGTATGAGGCGTTGAGGGTCAACGAGACAGATAGGGGCCA